AAAGGAGATGGTGAGTGTATCGCGCGATGAGTATGAGAGGTTCCTCCAGGTTATTTCATAGCATACTACAACCACCCTTGCCCACTCAGGAATAGCTTGTCTGACATCCAAACCCTCTCCCTAGATTATTGACTCTGGAGCCTTTGATCACATGACTGGGACTCCAGGTGTGTTCTCTTCCCTCTCTGAAACTTCCACATCTCAAATTGTTACCCTTTCCAACGGTTCCTCTTCTCCCACCTGTGGTGTTTGTAATGTTGACACAGCTTCTCTTTCTTTATCATCTGTTCTATATGTCCCTAAGTTTCCATTCAATCTCATGTCTATTAGTAAATTAACCAAGACTCTTTATTGCTCTATTATATTTTTCCCTTCATTTTGTGTTTTTCAGGATCTCAAGACGGGGAAGAAGATTGGTGGGGGGCATGAGGCTGGTGGATTGTATTATCTTGATGGTGGTGGATTGTCAATTGCATTGTCGACTRGGACATCCATCTCTCAAGGCACTCAAGATATTGGTTTCGTCTTTGAGTCATTTGTCGTCTTTATAGTGTGAGTCGTGTCAGTATGGGAAACATCGTCGGGTTCCCTTCAGTTCTAGAGTTGATAGTCGTATGTTGARTCMTTTTGCTTTGGTTCATTCAGATGTTTGGGGTCCGATTAAAATAGTCTTATAATGGTTACAAGTATTTTGTCACTTTTATTGATGATTGTTCAAGGATGACATTGATTTATTTAATGAAAAAAAGAGTGAATTATTTTCCATTTTTCAAAAATTTAATGCTAAAATATGTACACAATTTGGTGTTCCAATCAAAGTTCTTCRTTTAGATAATGATCGTGAATAATTTCTTACTTCTTTTCAACAGTATTTAGAACAACATGACATCATTCATCAAACTTCATGTGCATCCACTCCTCAACAAAATGGGGTGGTTGAACGAAAGAACTGTCATTTCCTTAAAACTACTCGGTCTATTCTTCATCATATGAGTGTTCCTAAACGATTTT